GGAAGGCTGGCTGTTCTTTTGGAGGTATCTCTTGGGTGTTTATGTAGAGAATAAGAGAGAGTTGATTGAGTTAGTGGTGGGCCAGGCTGCGCAGCTTTGTTGGGGAACAAAAGGGGGGACAGGGGCAGGTCTCTTACAGGGAATAAGAGAGGGGTTTTGGCTAGTAATGGTGGGTTTATTGTGTGAAATAAGGGAGTGGTTTTGGCCTGGTATCCTCGGCTCTCAAATGAGGGAATTGAAGTGTTTTGTTTGGTTGTGGTTTATGCAAAGAACTTCTGCCAGGGGTGTATTAGGGGTGATATGGGGTTCATGGGATGCCCTAAGTTTGGCCAAAGAAAGAAAGGAAAAAGGGAAATAACAACAAACAAAAGTTTTTGGTTTACACACTCTTATTTTTTGCCATAGGCTAAAAATAAGTGTATGAAAACATTATTTTGAAAGGAATTAAATGACAAGGAACTCTGGATGTTTAGGGAATGAATTGGGGGGGGGGGTATTTGTTCGGCCTAGGTTGGGTGTAGGACAACCCTGGTGTTGGTTTGGGCTTTAGGGAAGGGTGAAGGAGTGGATTCAACCCTAATAATGTCACCACACTTTGGGGTTATTCCCCTGATCCGTCTTTCCTTTTGTGGGCTAAGGAAAGTCTCCGTTGATGCTCCCGGATATCTAACACTTTCACATCTATACTTCCTCTCTGCATGTGTACATCGTAGTTGAAATTACATTCTTTGTCATGCACAAGGATTATATTGTACACTCATATGCATTTTTCATCCTTTCTCTAATCCCAGTGCTTGAAAATTTCTGTATTTTTTTTGACAGCTTCTTCAAAACCGTAGAGTGAAGTATGTGCCGGGTTGGGATTGTCATGGCCAACCAATTGAGTTGAAAGGTACATATTTCATCAACTTATGTACTACAAACTGTCTTTTGTTAAAATATAAGGAAATTCAAAATGCTTCTAATTTCCTTTCAATTATTTAAGTCATCTGATGACAGGAAATTTGATTTTTGGCTAGTTTGCTTCTTTCTGGTAGCATAATTTTCTCTGTAAAAGTAAAAGGTAAAATGAACTACACTGCTGCATTTTGAAGTTTGACTGCTAATCTTCCAATTTTCCTCATAAAGCATACAATTGATTGAGTTCTGATAGTTACATATTTTTTGGTGGAGGAACACTTTAATTAGTCAGTGCCCTAAATTCTATTTTTTTCTGTGCCTCATTATTGACTGCTTCTGGTTGTTATAGTGCATGCTGGTGTAAAGTGTAAACACAATAGGGATTTGGTCCAGACCTGTAGAACACAATAAATAATGATAGTGATGCAAAGGCGGAAGTAAATGCAGAAATACTTAAGGTGAGAAAAGGTATCATATTATCCAAAACACAAGCACAAGAGCACAAGGATTGATTTTAGCAAGTATCTGGCATTCTGGTTGATGGAGAAACCAGCCGAGCTTAGCTATTCTTTAAGCAAATAAGTATACCACAGAAAAATCGAGATCCCTTCTATACCAGAAGAGGGCAGTATTTATGCACGGAGCCAACTTCTCAGGATATTTGAGTATTTGACATTGATTCGTTGGTTACACCTCGTTCGGGTTTTGGCGTTTGTGCTTAGGATGTGTGCGTGTGTACCCAATGCGGTATACGGTCAGGAAATGCGGCCACTAATGATACATCGAGCTACATTCCAACCTGTTTTTTCGAGTTGGTCAAGATGGTGGACGATCCTTTGGGTTTTGGTTTTGTTGGGCCTCTTGGGCTGTTAGGGTTATGCACTTCCATTGATTGGGATTGAATCAATATTGACGGACTGGGTACAACAGGTGCTTTAGGCTGGTATGACTACCGGCACACTTTGAAGGTGTTGAGCTTGAAAATGTGCGTCCCATTATTCTAAAACCTAGACCAAAAAGACCTTCACCTGAAGTAATAGTAGCTGGAAGTTGTCCAATTTTTGAAGTTGCAAGAAGAAGACATTGAATGCTCAAACAGTTATGAATAATAAAGATGCCAAACAAGCCCCCCAACCAATGCTCCTATATTTTCTTTGTGTTACCCATTGACCTTGGGTGATGACTTCATTTCTGTTAAGTTATCATGAAGTCCCGAGATTCACCTTTTTCCTCCCGAGATTTTGAGATTCAAATAGTTGTCAATCAGTCTGAGTCAACTTGGATTCTCCACATTCTAGCTCACTTGATGTGTCTCCTTATGCCAAATCATAACATCACTGAGGGAAAACCAAAATAAATCATTGTGTCATGTCTGATACTCTGACAGATCCTCCTGTGGCACGACATATCACCTGTGGCCACATTTCCTGATCCCTACACTGCAGTATGGGGATCACACGCCGATATTCTCTACTCAAATACTGAAATACCAGTGCCCTTAAGAGCGCACAACCATCAAATTGCTGCCACCTGTCCCGAGACATTGACTCCTCACTTATAAATGCCATTATTGCATCTAGTTCGGCTGAACCCTTGTGCTCATCTTTTTTACAGTACATCTTTCCTCAAGAACAACAAGTCAACAACAAACCCACTAAATTCCCACAAGTGGGGTCCAGGGAGGTAGGATGTGCGATTATACACAAACCTTACCTCTACCCTTGAAGGGTGGAGAGGCTGTTTCTGAAAGACCCTCGGCTCAAATATATTTCCTCACCTTCTCTATTTCCACATTTACTTCTACCGCAGCCTTTGTTTCATTGTTAATTGTGTTCTGCCATCCCTAAAAGTGCTCTTCCCTTCTTTTGTTCTTTTCCTGCATTTTATGATTTTTATTTTATACCTGAAACAATTAGCTCCCAACTCTTGGAAGTTACCTTGATTAAAATACAAGTGGTTGTAGAAAAAACAGAAGAAAGTTCTATTGTCATCCGTGTTGTGTAACATTACATCTTCAAATAATTTTAGTTTTGCAGTCACTAGACAATGATGCTAGAAGAGAGCTAACACCCCAAAAGTTGAGGACAGTTGCAGCTAAATTTGCTAAAAGCACAGTGCAAAATCAGATGGCATCATTTAAGGTTTTAATCAAGTCTTGTGTGTTTCTATGAGAAACATATGGTCCTATGTTAATCATGTTTCTCTTCCATCCTACCCTCAACTACCACCCCTACAAATCTAATAACAGCAGAAAACAACTTTTGTTTTTTTGGATCCTTACAGAGGTATGGTGTATGGGCAGATTGGGATCATCCATATCTTACTCTTGATCCAGAATATGAAGCTGCTCAGGTAACTGTCATAGCATATATAGATTCATTTCTGTAGTATTTGGAGTGTTGTTTTGATTACTTGCTTTGGGGAATCTACTTTGGTTGCTGGTTTTGCACGTGACATATACACATTTATTTATTAAAATTTCCCTTATTGCCCAAGGCTTCATTCTTAGTTATTAGCTAGGCGGAACTTTGAAGTGTGTTTAAAACTGTGTTATCTATAGCCTATTATTACAGTAATCCTTTACGCACATTTCTCCTTTTGAATTGTGCATTACATAGATTGAAGTATTTGGCCAGATGGCCATTCATGGCCATATTTATAGAGGCAGAAAACCAGTTCACTGGAGTCCTTCATCTCGAACAGCTCTTTCAGAAGCTGAGTTGGAGGTAAATGTACTTTTTGCTTTTTTTATTGATTGTGGTTTGCATTTGGAATAATCGCATTCTTTTCTCATTATCCTGGAAATAACATTTATTGTTACACAACCTGTAAATCACTTAGCGAGGCTAAATTATTTATTGTTTTAATATATGCAGCATAATGAGGAGCATGTGTCAAAGAGCTTATATGCCATATTTAAATTAGTCAGGGCTCCACCTGGTTCAGACTTATTGAAGGAATTCATTCCTAATTTGTATTTGGCAATTTGGACAACTACACCCTGGACAATTCCAGCCAATGCTGGTAAATGACTTTAGTTGTCCATTACTTTCCCCCGTTATATTTGAATGGTTATTCTAAAAAAGTTTCTTATGAGATTTCAGCTGTTGCACTGAATTCAAAACTTCAGTATGCTATTGTTGAAGTTCAGCCAGTCTCAGTAGACAATGCTATAAGCAGTGGTGGAGCAAAGATTGCTGGAAAATTGTTGAAAGGGTTTGAGAATATGTTTCTTATTGTGGCACTGGATCTTGTTTCAACCCTGGAGGCAAAATGGAACTTAAAACTTGTTGTGAAGAAAACTTTTATGGGCTTAGATCTTGAAAATAGTAGGTAACATTCTAAGCATCCTAATATTACTTCATCCCACAACCCACACTATAATCTATTGCTTTACAAATTTGCTAATCTCTTTGGTTGTTCACAGTGAAGTACATTATAGATGAAAGTGATCCTTTTTCAATTTAGACTCTGTTTTTTCCTTTCCTTCAATTTACCACTTTTTGTACAAGAAAATGGCTGTCTTAGAGTTCCAATGCAGTATCACGAGTATTGTGTACCTTATGTTGTTGTACAAATGCTTATTGGCATGTTGTATCCATTTAAAAGATATGCAGCCTTTTTTCAAACCAATCTTACCTAGCATATCCCACTCGGATGCAGGGTGTGAAGAGGGTAGATGTATCATGCATTAGTGAGCTCTTTTCTTGTAGACTCCAGGCAAGTAGTGACAGAATGCCAGTACAAAAGAGAGTGAAAGTAAGAAACCATGTAATTAGAAAAGAAAATACGCACAAAGGTAAGGAATAATGTAACCCCCACCCTGTACACCCCTCACCATAGAGCCATCACTCTCGAACCCTGCAAAGAATCTACTACCCAATTCTAGTGTCTCCAGGAACCTTTGTCCAAGGTCATGTTCAACTGAAATGCTCTCAACCTGCCTCACCAATGAGATCACATCTTTACGGCAAATGGAGCACAGGAGCCAAACTATCACAGTTTTGCCTCTCTTTATCAATAATACATGCTACTCCTAGCTCTAGCAGGAAGAACAAATGTTGTATTCCGTCCAGCATGGTACAACCACATGTCCACTTCAACCTCTCCAACTCTGCAACCTCCCACTTCTGCTCATGCACTTTCCTTATTGCACAAGGTGCAACACTTAAACCCATACATCATAACTGGTGAGATGGCTACCTTGTAAAACTTGTTCTTCAATTTTGACAGGGTTCTCTTTTTCAAGTTAGGTAGGAACAGATACAAGACTCATCATTTGTTTGGGGGATTAATTGAATTTCTTGGGTCTCTGATATATGCGTGCACAATAAGGGTACAAAGTGTTAGGAATCCAATACAGAAGCTCCTTTCAACTAGTAACATGATAGGCAAATAGAAATTTCCTCAGCTGAATATAGAGAAATGACTTATATAACATGTGATCTGACATGGGGACAACTATACTAAACAAAGTAGGTAACATACAATGAGTTCCACTTCTCGAATAATCCTGATTTTAATGAATCAAGGAGTCCCTATATCACATTGAAGTAGTCATTCTGTGTGGGAGAAGATCCAACAAGGACTAATCTCTTCCTTAAATTTACAGAATGGGGATCGGTTCACATAATTGTTCATGAAGTGGCTGAATAGGTTTGAGAATCTGAGTTTATCTTTAACAGTGCCTATCTGAGCATTATGAACATATATGCTCTAGCCCGAGCAACAACAAGCCAAGTATAATCCTAACTACATTAGGGTTTGCCGGGGGGAGGGGGGGTGTCAATATACACACAACCTTACCCCTGTAAAAAAAAGAGGTGGCTTCCTTTAGAGCCTTCATGCACTGTTACATTTGCTAGTTCACTGCCTAAAAGGCCAAAACTTCAAAGAAAGTGATAAGCAAGAGAAGGCTAATGTGCCGTTCTGATGCAGTCCATCATTTACCCAAAACTAAAACATTCTCAAAATGACTCTTTTCGTTCAATTGGACATGGGCACAATGCTCTAGCCTGAGCCTTGAAGCAAAATGTTAGAAGTCATAATTTGATAGAGCCATAGAGGGGTAAGGTCAGGGGTAGCTAGTTTGTTACTCTCGTTAGTCTAACAACCATCATTCGAAATTATTTCTATTTTGTTATGTTAGTTGATACATATGTATGATCCATGTACACATTGAAATTTAACACAGAATGTTCTTTTATCAATCTGTAGCAGGAATTAAAGACCTATATTGCTCTACAATCCTGGCTTCATTTGTGTATTTTCAGGTACACCCATCCCATTGATAACCGAGAATGCCCTGTTGTCCTTGGTGATGATTACATTACAACTGAGTCAGGAACAGGGTTAGTTCATACAGCACCTGGTCATGGTCAGGATGACCACAAAACTGGCCGCAAATACGGCTTGCCAATACTTTCCCCTGTAGATGATGATGGAAAATTTACTGAAGAGGCAGGACAATTCAGTGGCCTTGATGTGCTTGGTGATGGAAACATTGCTGTTATTCAATACTTGGATGAACACCACTCCATGATCATGGTGGAGCCATACAGTGAGTTATACTCTTGTTTTGACTTTTGCCAACATAGATTAAGCTGGTTTGTACTGAAGTTATTGGTACCAGATCTCGATAAACAGAAAACAGAAATCTAGAACAAGAACTTATTGGAAATCCTTCTCCAATTAATTGAAAAACTTTGAATACATAAAATACAGAGAAACTATCCCTATTTATAGATGAGTTAACCTTGTCCACCAAGTTAAATCATCAGCCTTGCTCTCCAAGCATAACATCTCCTACTCCTACAAGCTATGATAATCTCAAATCCATCTGAGATATATCTCCTAAAATTATGACTGACTCTACCCTAATTATTAACAAATAAAGACTTCAACATAATTACAAAATAAACCCCCTAACTATTACTGAATGTCAAGATTGGTCCAACA